TTTGATCTACCTAGATTTTAGCTAAGTGATACCCAGCTGCATGTTTGGCCTGTGCAATTACAGGATAATGAGTCTGGGCTTGTTTTAGTCACTACATTTGTGGGTAATTTGTTGGAGTGGTGACGGACATCTAAGTCAGCCTTTCTTTCCTCTGGCTTTTGTGATTATTTATTAACCCTCGCTTCAGTCATTTAGGCTAGTAAACCATCACTTCAGCTTAAAGTCAAGTGTCTTTTTAATACTGTCTTTCCTCTAAATCTTTGATGTAATACTACCAGAACAAGACAATTAGTCATCCCCCAAAATGAGCAAAAGATCCAAAGCTTATTTAAATATTTCTTTTCCTCACCTGGATTTTTTTTCTGAGTTCTAATGTGCCTAAGACATTAGTATAAATATATTAGCTGCATTATTATCTTTAATTTTAATAACTGCACTTGAGTACTTTTATTTTACACAGCTTAGGGATGCCCAAACTAACCTTATACAGGTTAATGATGGTGATAGCTGTTATTAAATAGTTATTAAATAAAGAAAAAGACCTAGATGACAATGGGGAAGCTGGTGAGAACACAGTTCCTTAAGCCCTTTCCAGTAACGTGACCGTGTGTGAGCCACACATTTGTTTGGTAGATAATGCAATACAAAAGAAGATTAAGAAAGCTTAGAGTTAACTACTGTCTTTCCAAACTTACTTCAAAGACATAACCGAAAGCAACTTCCGCCTCAAATTCTGATGCAAAGACATTCGTTAGACAGACACTCATTAACATGGATGGTAAACACAGATCACAAACTTCCGAATTTGGACATTGTGGTGTTTCCCTCTTAGTTGTCCCCACCACACATTCTATAGGCATTTTGCTCAAGCAGACATGGCCAGTCCAGGAACAGAAGTCCACTGCTCCAACAGGTGGTGCAGACAGCCATCAACACACCTGTACTGAACACAGGACTCCTTAAAGGTCAAATGGACTCGTTTGATAGCCAGGTGGACTTGGCCTTAGACTGTCCCTATATTTGTCCAAACGTTATCCTGAGAGTTTCTGGGAAGATGTATTGGGATCTGATTGACATTTAAATTGGCAGACTTAGCCCATTGCCTGTCTGGATGTGCAAGGGCCTCATCCCATCGGCCTGCCCACAACACAAATGCTGGCTCTCCTTCAAGCCTGGAGAAATTCTTCCATTTGATGGCGAGTAACTGAGATGGTGACCACTTTCTGTCTGTGCTGGAGTGGGAGCGTCACCTCTTCTTGGGTCTGCTGGCCTTGGACTTGGAATCAAACTGTCTCAGCAGCAATCCTGGGTCTTTGTAAGGTTTACCAGTTCCATCTGCAGATCTTGGAAGTTATCATCCCCTCCATGCTTTGTGTGTGTGTGTGTGTGTGTGTGTGTGTGTGTGTGAGAGAGAGAGAGAGAGAGAGAGAGAGAGACTGCATGTGCATCTCTGTTCTCTGTGTTTGTGTGTGTCTCTCTCTTTCTCTGTGTGTATCTTGACTGATGTCATTCCTAAGGCTATGGTTCTCTCACAAATTTTATATCTTATTCTTGGCATCAAAATAACAAACTCACACACTGAATGTCTTAAAATCATCAGAAACATATCCTCTCTTCTTTCTGTAGCCTAGAAGTCTTAAATCAAAATGTCAGGAGTGTGTGAGGCACATAAAACTGGGTGAAAAAAACCTTTGGAGGTGGCCTTCAGTCCTCAGCATTCCTTGGTTTATTGCTACATAACTCCAACCTCTATCTTCATGTGGCATTATTTTCATGTGTGTCTCTTCTTTCAAGGCATCAGTTACTCAGGAAATGTGACTTTTCCCACCTTTCCCAAAATGGTCATGGCTGTCTTAATAAGGCACCAGGGCTTAGGAGTACAACCTATCATTTGAGGGGCAAAATGCAACTTAGATTACTAATTTATGGAGCATTCCAACCAGTTCACACTTATAGATGGCAATTTCAGTTAACCTTTAAGACACATTTAAGTTCTTTATGCTGATTAAGCCATTGATTTCACCAAGGAAAATCCATGTTTTGATGTGTAAATTATGAATCTCACACTAAAGAAGCCCACGTGATAACGGGGAGATGGAAAGCTGCAGCTGTAAGGTGCCCACTACCCCTGCATTTTTAGTGGTGCCCCAAGGTCAGTTGTCTATTTCTAGAGGTGAAACTGACACTCTGTGGAGAGTACGTGGCCTCACACTATTGACCCTGAAATCGTAAGTTAATACTGTAACATCCCTTTTAGTCCATGTTGACTCGGTTGCAGAAATACATTTCTCCATCAAAAAATTCACTTACCGGATTTGCATTTGTCTCCCCACCATGGGTTCTTGCTCTCTGTTCTGATTTTTTTTTTTTTTTAAAGCATGGACACCTCACTCTTTACCTGTTCACATCTCTCAAAGTACATGCCTTCTTAATGAGTCCGTTGCTCCTCCCATAGAGTGTTCTCATGATTTCAGTTTGTTCTTTCCTCTCCTGGCTTTAGAGCCTGAGCCTTCAGCCATGGTCTTATGTGGGACCATTCAGGGCCTCTGTGCTTTCCTGGCTTCCTCCTTGGTAAAAATCTCTTTCTCCTTAATTACTGTCAGTATAGATTTTGTCTGTATGAGAGGCAGATATAAACACACATAAAGGCTCATACTTCTGAAGTATTTTTATTGCTGGAATTATTCCCTCTCATAGCTCTTCCATTCTAATCACATTCAAGTGAACTCATGTATACTGATGAGGCCCACTGAATACTGGCCATTTTCCATGTGACTGGAAGGATCTGGATTCCCTTCAAAATAGTCAGATTTAGTTATTGTTCACCCACTCTGAAACCTTATGTTTTTTTGCTCATTAGCTGGATCCTTAGGGATAGCAACCATTATTCATTTTGAGTGTAGAAAAGTCAAGACCATTGGAAACAAATGAATGGACGAACGAACAAACAAACACTAGATGACCTAATTTTGTCACTTAGAGGATTTTGTGCTTGAAGCATGGTTAGCAGATGAACTTGTGCACACTCTCCTCAGAGGCTTCTGCTGTCCAGGGCTGTCAGGGGTCAGGCAGCTAATTTGTTAGTGAAACGGGCCAACCAAGAGCTGTGGCATGCTGGGGTGTGAGTTACTGTCCCAGATGGGCTCCGGTCTGTCATCTCTATCTGATGATTGCCAGTGGCTGCAGCTTGCCACTTCCCCTCATAAGTTTAAAGAAATCTAGATATGTGTAGATTTTGTGTAAAATTTTCAGATATTAAATTGATGATTCATTGTTTTTGACAAACAAAATCTATCTGTGACCTTGGTCCACTAAGTGGAAACACACACACACACACACACACACACACACACACACACACACACACGCGACAACTGATGTTTTATAGCAATAATAAGCAAAAGCCAAACACCTTGTTGCTTATATTCATCTTGTTTGCTCAGCAGTGACATCTGCTAGCAGTTTAACTTATGATTTTCTACGGGCGCTGGGTGAGAATGTGATAGCTGTGTGATCGAGGCCCCTGGGACACCTTTGGACATTGAGACCCTCTGAAGGTTTGACTCTTTGTACCCATGCTGAAATGGGTTGAGGATGTTAAACTCCTTCTAATTTACTGTCTCTAGTGGTCCTTAAGAAAGCAAAGAATGAGGATGCCCTTAGAATTTCCTTTCCTTAACTTAAGAAGACCAGTGTCAGGGACTAAGAGTGGGTAGAATGGAGGGTGATTGCCTACTGTGTGATGGGATTCTTTCAGAATGATGCTTAGATAGAGCCAAATATAAATATACTGGAATTCAGTGGATTACGTGTCTCAGAACGGCTCAAATGGTGACTTTTATGTTATGTGAATTATAGTTAATTAACCTAAAACCAAAAAAGTAATTGCATTTTATAGATGATATTTCCATAACATTACAGTAAAACATCTCCATTTTTTTTATGGGTATATTGTATTTTACTTTATAAAATTAAGTTGATTTACTTATCCAGGACCCAAGTAAGGGCATTTAGTTTATTATCAATCCTTTGTGTTTATAAAAAAAAATTACAATGAGAATTACACGTGTCAAGTATTGAGGTGTGTGGTAAATCCAGGAAGCTGTGGTTTGTAAATTTCAAGATCGCCACGGCTGCTTCAACAATAGAATATAGAAGAAACCACCGTGTCCTAGTTTCTGGACCCAAGAGACTTCTTGTTTCTTGGAACATACAGTTGGAGCTAGCTGCCAAGGTGTGAGAACATCCAAACAGTCTCCATGGCAAAGAGGATCCCAGATGGCAGCCCCCACTGGGTTTCTAGTCAGAAGCCAGAACTAGCCTACTGGCCACGCGTATGAGCCCCCTCGGAGAGGAATAACGAATAACTGGAATAGGATTGATGCTGTTCAGTTTCTTACTAGCACTTGATTGTAGGTATTACTCTGCAGCTTTTCCTTTTTCGGTGACTGCTCTCTCAGTTTTTCTACTGGTTGTTTATCAGCGACCCTTACATCCCAGAGCCTCGAACCACAGGACAGAGACCATCCTTACTTATCCTCCTCGACATCAGAGTGAGCTATCTTCTCCTGCATAATGAAAAAGGTAGCTCCACCAACCTGGCTTCCTTCATGGCTGACTTATGTCTTTGGTACTATTTCAAGGACAACCTGTTTCCTGTACCCATACACACCGTCCCTTACTAACTCTCCTGCTGTTGGAGACAAATTGGAACACCTTTTACACGTATAATCACTGAGCCAAAGACCATTGTCACTTGCCCATAGGGTTTCAGGTCTCATCTAAATAACAGACATCTCACCAACTACAACTTCCTAGTGGATCCAATAGAGGTTTCACACACTGCACTTTGTATGGCTGATTCTTCGTGGTTTTGTTTTGATTTGACGCATTTGTATTGACTGCAGTGAATTTCCAAAGTCATTCTCGACAACTCCTTTAAAATGGGCAGTTGCCGCAACCGGCCGCCACGGGAGCCCCGCCCCTCTGTTTCCGCCCCGCGCAGGCTGTTTCCGGCGCGGTCTCTCTCCGTTCCTTCCTTCCTGCCTTTGGGACCCGGAGCCTCCGCCGCGCCGCGTCGGCCAGCAGCGTTCCTTTGGCCTGCGCCTCCGAAGCGTTCCCGGGAGCCGCGATGGAAGACGATCAGGAGCTGGAGAGGAAGGCGCCGGGACGGAGGCCCCCCGCGGCGGGCGGCGGCGAGCGGCGGGCGGCGCTGGAGCTGGTGCAGGCGGCCGGGGCGGACGGGCGCTGCGTGACCTTCGTGCTGCACGATGAGGACCACACGCTGGGCAACGCGCTGCGCTACATGCTGGCCAAGGACCCCGCCGTGCACTTCTGCGGCTACACCACCACGCACCCCTCGGAGAGCCGCATCAACCTGCGCGTGCAGACGCGGGGCGCCCTGCCCGCCGTCGAGCCCTTCCGCAGGGGCCTGGCCGGCCTCCTGGGCCTCTGCCAGTACGTGCTGCGCGAGTTCGAGACCAGCGTGGGGGACTTCCGGGAGAGGACGGCCGGCGGCGGCGGGGACGAGTCGCAAGCGCGAGTGTGAACAGGCCCCAGGCTCCTTCTGTCACCATGTGCCCTGACCCCGCCCTGCGAGCACATTGGCCCAATAAACCACGTCTCAGGTTCAACCCCCCCCAAAAAAAACTGCAGTTTCCATAACTGTTTAGAATAATGGAGTAAAACATTATGCTTGAAACAGATAATAAAATTACTATGTGTAGATGAACGCTATCATATATTTTATATGATATTTGAATTGTAATAAATCATACATATAATATATCAGAACCATAGTTACTTTCTAGAATGGACCTCCCATTTTTAATTAAAAACCTTTTCTGTAATATGTCTAGACTTTTTCTTGGTAACGTTAGGACGATTTTCAGTCAATACTTTTCATACCTACTATTATTGGCCCTGTTCCAAAGTGTTTCTCAGAGTGGAGACTAAGATAACCTATGAAAAGCACTTTGCATTCTTCACAGTAGCAATATAGCAGCTGCTTTACTGTCATAGTCATGAAGCCTAATCATAAATGACACAGTAATGTTTTTATGACTTTCTGCCATCAAACAGAATACAGCGTGATAACTGGTACAAGGGAAAAGCGCAGAAGATACATTGAACATAGACTAGACTGGAGCCTAACTGGCCTGGGGGAAATAATAAAGACTTCTCTGAAAAGATGTGCTTGTCCTGAATCCACAGGCCATGCCTTCTGTTTTGCTTGGTGCTTCGCATTTCCACCACTCTTACGTATCAGTGGTCAGTAGGCATCACCATATCTTTCTAACCCAAACCCTGTGGCAAGGACCAGGGTCATCCGTCTTCTGGGCATGACACAGTTATTGTAATTGTGAACTCATGGCAGTTGTGTTTACTTACACTAGGCCTGCACAAGATTGGCTGTGTCAACAATCTGTCATGGATGGGGGAAGAGGTTCATGGGACCACAGCCATCTACATTAGTCAGGATTATGTATAGGAACAGAACTGATAGATATATATTAAAAGGGGATTTACTAGAGTGGCTTTCAGGCTGTGTTCCAGCTGGTCCTAAGTGGCTTCTCTGGATGGGCAGGCCAAGAACCCAGTAGTTGTTCAGGTTAGATGTCTCGGGTTTTCCTGTCTTCAGTCTGTGTTGGAATTCCAAATACATGGGTTCTAATACTAAGGAAGGAATGTCTCAGCACAGAGACTTGACAGCAAAGAGTGAGGGCAAGCAGGGGTCTCCCCAAGTGACAGGGGTAGATGGTGGGAAGGGTGAGTGTGCTCATAATGCACCGTATGCATGAATGACATTGTCAAAGGACACGTTTACCAGTAATAAAAATAAACGGAGAATCACTGCCCAGACCAAGAAAATTAGGGAACAGACACCAACCACCCGGCTGTTCTAGAGCAGAGCCTAAACTCACCACCATGGCCCTGGGTGAGAAAATACTTCCTAGCCTTTACTATGTGTGAGTTCCAGGGGGCCTGGCTTTCCCCCTCCTGGTGGCACTCACTTCTAAATGTGTTCTGAGCTCCAGCTTCTTTACTTTTCCTCACCCATCCCTTTTCTTCTGGAAATTCTCTTTTCCAAATGTGTTTGGTTTTCTTGATGTTAAGATTTTTTTTCTGTCATTTTCTGGATTTAGTACAGAAGTAGCTGCAATCAAGTGTTCTCAGAACAACATCTTGACCCGGTCTCCAGCGCACTCATTGTTGAAGCTTTTAAGAGAACCGAACCGTAAGATTCTATGTAAAGCATATTACACATGCTCCCCAAATATCCTTGATTTTTAAAAAATCTTTACATTGGAATAATACTTTTGAATATAAGGCATTTTCATGATATTATGTGTTAATGTAACTGGTTTTTGCTTGGCTCCTTATAAACAATAGTGCCATATGCCAGTGAGGAGGAGCATGAAATAAAAGTGATATATATATATATATATATATATATATATATATATATATATATGGTAATATATAATTTATATCATATCTTATATATACCTTATATAATTTATATCATATCTTATATATACCTTATATATAAACATATAAGGTTATATAAACGTATATATACCATATATATTGAAGTATATATATGTATATATATTATTCAGGACACATGCACCTTATTCAGGATTACTCTGAAAAACAGGGAAAGGCACATTTCCCTTCAATGCGGATGTGGAGCTGAGCTTGGACAGACTGAAGGAGGAAGAGACTGGGTTCCAGGAGGCCAGCAAGATGATCCCTGTAGCAGGCTAAGCACTAACTGGTGAGACCTGGGACACAGCATAGGCAAGAAGGGATAAACGAGAAAACTAATTCAAAGAAGCACGTGGGAGGTGCCGGGTGAAATGTTGGCAGCGACACCATGGAGACACCAAGGCTTTGATGCCCCTGAAGGACGTGGGCCTCTTCTATGGAGATGTGAGAGTTCACAAGGAAGACGACCTCTCCATCGTGTGCTGCTCACCCTAGTGCCTCAAGTCACTTACGGCAGCTCAGAATCCAACATAAGGTGACTTCATCTTGGGCCACACTCAGGGAGCTACATTCCTGATTCCTAGAAGGATTTCATTACGGCATAATTTTTCCCTTCAACACGGTTGTGCAACTTCCACGTAATAGCGTAAGTGAGCCTCCAGAGTATTTGCTAGTCTTGAAAATTAGCCCAAAGACCTGAAGGCTCAGAGAAAGTTGGGTGAACCTATAAAGTCAAACTGATGAGAAGTAAAAACGTCAATAAAATGTTCGCTATGACCCGTGTATTGATTCTCACTTAGTTTAGTTCATGTCCGCTGTTCCAAGAATCCACAACATGATACTGTTTGTAGTAGGATGACCTGATTAAGAAAGCCTGGGCACATAGCTGCCCGTGGATGGTAGATATTTTTGGGCTTCTCAGTAAGGTTCCCGCAATCGTTCTGTTTTCAGCGTGGCTGGGTTTGACCTCCTCTTTCAGACCTTGGAGAAATAAGTTAACTACAGGTGAGGAAGGTGAAGAAGAGGGTGAGCAGCAGGGAGCCCTGTGGATTTGTGAGCCTGTTAGCATTGGGTTTTCCAGCCTACCCTCCACCTCCATCCACCACACTCTGTGACAGATTTCTGGCTTTGATTTCCTAATTTATACAGAGACCCAATGGGGCACAGCTGCCCTAGCCCCACTCACCTCTGACTTAAACGTTGTTTTTTTATGTTGGCATCTTTTTTTTTTTTTCTTTTCTTTTGAAAGTAACTTCTTTCCAAGGCTTTTATTGTGTCCCCTCCTGTGGATAGATATTTCACCTGCATACTTAAACGAGGATTTTCTTTAGGCAATTAGAACTGGTATCTGGCTAGTGCTGTGAGCGACTAGCAAACTGAAGACAGCTGTCTTTGCTTAGCACGTGACTCCTAGGACTGAAGGTTTCCAAGTGGCATACTATCTAAACTGTAACTTTCAGTGGTCACCTCCTTGGTCCTAGGTGGTCACCTCTCAGTCCCTTGGTGGTGGAGGATGTCAGAGACTCCCTAGAGCTGGGGAGCAGAGGAGAAAAGAAGTGGGGAGTCTTTTCTCCGCCAGTTAATTTCCAAGACCGCTTTTATTTTTTGATATAATATTTTATCAATTTGCTATGAATTTCATAATAGAATATATTTTGATCATATTCACTCCACTCCTCTCCTTAATTTTTCCCAGACACCACCTAACTCTTTTTATCTTCATGTTCTTTTTTTCCCTCTTAAAAAAAAAAATAACCCACAAAGTTGATCAAATTCACCCCACTCCTCTCTTTAACTCTTTTCAGACCCCATTTAACCCCTCCAATCTTCATGTTCTCTGTTCTCTCTCTTAAAAAAAAAAAACCCACAATGTCCAATTTGTGCTGCTCAAATACTCATGTGCGTGGGACCATTTCTTGAAGCAATGACAACCAATCAGGGGGCCACCTCCTTAAAAAACGATCTCTCCTTCCTGCAGAAGTCACGAAAGGTCAATATCTCCACAGCCAAGGATGGAGGCTTGTGAGCTCTGCGCCCACTGCATGCTGACTCTTGACTGGCTTGGTCCTGGGCAGGCAACCAGAGCCGCTGTGGGAAAAGGCTCACAACCAGCAGCCAGGAGACACCCGTTACTCCTCCAGCTCTCCCTGACCCTGGCTCCTGCCAGTTTTAAGGCCCCTCTTCTAACACGGTCCCTGAGCCTTGGAGTGAGGGGATGGGATGGACACATCTCATTTCGTGTCTGAGTGCTCTATGACACTTTCCCCTGGCACTTGAACCAGTTCTGTGTTTCCGTGTTAACCGTCACCCACTGCAGGAAGAAACTTCTCTGATGAGGTAGGATTGTTGCACTAATCTATGGGTAGAGAGAGACATGACTGGAGGGCACTGTTGATACCATGTCCGCTTAGCAAAATGACAGCAGTGGCTTCGTGGCTGAGTTTTTGGCTCATCGTTGACATGTGGCTTTTCACTTTGCTTCAGCTTTCTTGGTGGGGAATGGGCATGAAGGAAGGGGTTTCAGTCAGAATCCCTGTGGCATGGAAATGCTCTGTGTTCTCCTGCTGATGGTTGATGCTCTGTAAATATAGATCCTAATCGAGGATGGAAGGCATTTTGCAGTAACGATGGCAGAAGCTTGTTTAGAGAGAGCAGATAGTCGTAACCTTTTAACTTTTATTTGGGGTAACATATGTGGCCAGTTTACAACCATTTTCCATATACAGAAAACAAATCAATCAACTCTAATAGTTTCAATCAACCCCTTTAGCTCTCAAAGCCTTGTGATGTGGATATTGTCTATTTTGTATAACTGTCCACGGTGAGAGTTGTTTGCTCCTTTCAGGCAAAAGATGGGCACAGATGTTCCTAGGATGTATAAAATGAAATGCTCCTGGGTGACCCAGGTATTCTGAACTTGGTGGGAGGGAACTCAGCTACACAGGCAGAGACAGAATGTTAAGGGGGAAAAAAGATCTGTCTACAGGAAAGAGAAGGTAGACCAGCAGTGGGGGCCAGCCAGAGAGAAGGAATTCCTTTGTCCTGAGGAAGATAATCAGTCAGATATCTTCATTACTTACTCCATCCCCAGTATTCTTATTGGCTGAGGCCAGAGTAAGAATTAAACACCAGCCATTTGGTGAAAGAAGCATTTTCTGAGAATGCTCCATTTTCAACTCAGTGCTAAGCCAGATGGCGTCAACGGCAAGGTGAATAGTTCAGTGGCAGGAGAGCCATTCTGTGGGCTGAAGAACTGGTCTGGCTCCAGATTCTGTTCTCTTGTCTGTAATGTGTATCACTCGTGCTCACGGTGAAGCCAGTTCTATACACTGTCTTACACACAGGAGTGACAAACACTGGCCATGACCTCCACACTTCCTGTCCTCACTCCCCACCCAACCTCCCAAGGGAGTGTTTCAGGCCTGCTGCCACTTGCGAATTGAGCATGTAAGCTCTAAATTTTGCAGAAATTTCCTACTACAGCTGTCTTTTGGGGTTTTCAGTGATACCTAACTAGCATATTTCCATAAACGAAAGTCTGAGGCAAAATGACAGAGTAAATTGAAGCATAAAGAAAAAAAGCAACTTAAAGTTAAGAAGTGAAAAAAAAAGCAATGTAAAATCAAGAAATTCTGAAGCTTTTATCAAACTTATAAAAACCAACTTAGCACAGAATACATGACTTCATACTGAAAATCTGAGTAACCATAGGCCAGTTGGTCCACTAATATGCCTTATTGCAGCTGGTCTTTGCTGCTTTGTGGGTTCTTCTTTTTCCCACCATTTATCGCCTTCCCC